CGCGAGCAAATGAGCACACCAACAAAGACAAGCGAAGGAGGAGCGGGAAGAAAAGGGACAGACGGGAGGGAGAGAGAGAGAGACGCACAAGCCAATGTGCTCGATCTCTCGGTCCAAACCCTTACGCAATAGGGTAAGGAGGGTAAAGAGGGTAAGGAAAACGCAGTAAGAGAGACAGCGGCGGCAGCGGCGGCAAGAGAGGAGAGGAGGGCACCAGCCAGGGGCGCGAAACCGCCAGCCCTCGGCGAGCGACACCTACCGCAGTCAGAGGGGCGCGAGGACGAGACAGGCAGAGGAGAGAGAGAGAGAGAGAGAGGAGGGACAAAGGCAAACGCGGGGCGTAGACCCAGGCGGCGACGCACTCAGGACCCGCACTACTCGACGGCAGACGCGCTGCTTGTCAGCGTGGTCTTGCCTGTCGGGAGGCTCACCGCGAGACGGGCCGCGGACGCCGCCGTCCTACTGCTGTGCTGCTGGCCGTTGTGGAGCTGTGAAGGGGAACTGGGACACACAAATAAATACACACAAACAAAGATTTTCCCCATAGTTTCCCATATTTTCTGGGTTTCTGTCTTCCCCCCACTTCCCATATTTTCCTATTTTCTGGGGATCGCCGATTAATTGTGTCTGTGTGTGTTTTTCCCCTCCTGAAGCTGACCGCCATGGTCGCAATCGGAGCCGCGCTATCGGACCGCGCTCGCACTGTAGCTCGCTGCCGCCGCGGAGCTCGCCGCGCAACTGGCCGCCGGCGTCGCCGCGCCACTGCCGGCCTGCGCGCTGCTGCTCGACACCGTTGGATACGAACCTGCCCTACTACAATGAAGGGCCCCCAGGACACACAAATAAATACACAAATAAAGATATTCCCCATATTTTCCCATATTTTCTGGGTTTCCGTCTCCCCACCCACTTTCCATATTTTCCCATATTTTCTAGGGAATCGACGATTAATTGTGTCTGTGTTTTTTTTTCCCTCCTGATACAAGTCGGGTTGCTCGACCAGACCGCGCACGCACTGCTGCTCGCTGTCGTGGCGAAGCTGACCTGGGAATGGGTTGGGGTCGCCGCTGTGCCACCTCTGGCGCGCGCGCTGCTCCTCGAAAAGCGCTGCAGCTCGCCCAGACAGCCTTCACACCGTCACGCTGCTGCTCGCTGTTGCCGCAAAGCTCAACGTGGAGTTGGCCGACGACGTCGCCGTACTACTCTACTGTTGGTCTGCGCGATGCTGCTCGACCACGACGCAAACGACACTACGCGAATAGAAACGGCGCTGCTGACCCGACCGCGCCCACACTGCTGCCCGCGACGTAGGCGTCGGCACTGGCGTAGGCGCTGGCGGTGGTTCCGGCACAGGCGCAGGCGTTGATGCTGGCGCCAGTGCTGGCACAGGCGCTGGCGCTGGTGCAGGCGCAGGCGCAGGCACCCAATGTGATTCCATGTGGTGCAGCTGCAAGCCCGAAGCGCGCGAATCCTCGAACAACGGCTCCAATGTCTGCGCTGAGCACACGCCGTCGCGGCGGACAACGGCGAGGTCGTCGGCAGATGCCCGCGCGAGATCATTCGGCAGAGCGTTAGCGAGACGCCGAAGTAGGACATCGTCGGCCATGGCGAACAAGAGCGGAGACAATAGGCAACTCTGCCGGATGCCCGAATCCATGCGAAGCCCGTATAACCTGGCCCCGCCAACCGGAACAAAAAAACAGGTCGTGTCGTAGTACAAAGATCGGGTGAACTGCAGAAGCAACTCCGGCCAGTCCAACGACTCAAACAGCTCGTGCATGAACTCCCTGCTGACGCTGGGGAACGCAGCCGCAAAGTCGAAGAGCACTGCAGCAGCGCACTCTTGGGACAACGCCGCAGCCTGCATGCCCATATTCATGTCCACCAAGTTCGTCAGCATGCTGCGGCCCCCTGTGAAGCCGCGTTGCATGTCTGAGACTTCTGCTTCAAAGAGGGGCCCCAGCTTGAGCCTGACGGCGCCTGCTAGTATACGGTTGTCGGTGTTGGTGGTGCTGAGAAGGAGGGTGTTCTCTGGCGTGTAGATCGGATCGCCCGCTGCGTCCACTCCGTCAGCTGTCTTAGGCAAGAACACCATGAGGCTCTCATTGAAAGTGGGATACTCACGCCGTGGGGTGGCGAGGCCACCAGGACTCCCCATAGCACGGAAGGCTTTGTACAAAATATCCGCGGCCAGCTCCTCAATGGCGCGCCATGCGCTGAACGGTATGCCGCCTGGGTCACTGGAAGAACTCGACGTATGCCGAATCGCCTTAACCAACTAACATTCGCACGAGTGGCGATCCCTCGCAGCAGCCAGTTGGTCGGCTGATCCCTTCCGAGTCCGCCGCTGCCGACTGACCTGACAAGTAGGGCGAGCTCGCAAATGGCGTTCCCAATGTACCCGCAAGGCCTCGGCCATACCCTCAGGCTTCGCGTGCACCGTGCCATCGAGGCCGCGCACAGCCTGACGAGCGGCGCCGCGCACAGGGGCAAGACGCTGCAGGAGCCGCGCATTCTTCTGGCGACGGGCGGCCGCAGCCGAGGCAGTGAGGTTAGGCACACACTCACAACTGACGCCCGCGAGCCAGGGAAGCTCTCAACCTTCTGGTCGCGTAGCACTGCCCGATGCTATCCGGATCCACGAGGAGCGACGACCAACACTCACACACACACACACACACAGTTTTTGTTGCGTCGGCGGCTGGGCAAAGGTCGGCTGCTCCAGCGGAATGGCCAAATTAAGGCCGCAATGCACGGAAGGAGGAGGAGGAGGAGGAGCCCTGGCGCGACGGGGGGAGAGCGGCAGGGGACAGCGCCGTGGGGGGAGCAACGCTGGCACAGGCTGTACTGAACTGCACTGAGCTGAAGCTGGGGGGGCAGTCAGGAGCTGCAGCAGCTGGCGGTGGTGAGAAAACGAAGCGGGGCCCAACCCTTCGACTGCACACACACACACACACACACACACACACACACACACACACACACGCGCACCCACACGCGCACACACACGCGCACACACACACACACACACACATACGCGCACGCGCGACCAGCAGACGTCGCGCTCTTTCCGCGCCAGGCCGTGCGCTCGGCTCGCAGCGCGAACTAGAAAGCACCCCCACATTCGCGACCGTGCCAGAGCGGCACAGACAGGGGCAGAGACCCCCCACACACACCCCTCCTGGAAGACCAGCAGGCGACGGCGGCTGGCGGTAGGTCGGGCATGTCCCCCTACAGGCGCATTGTGGAGGAAACCTAGCACTGCCCCCCACCCAAAAAATGCTCCAAGAGTAATCAAAAACATTGTCAAAACACATCGTCCCCAGACTATCTTTTGATTCTCTTTGGGTACTCCTCCCGTAGAGGGACACGCCCGACTTGAAGCCAACGGAGCGAGCCTCCGGCGCTCCGCCGCGCTCTCTCGAATTCACGCGCGCCGCGCGCGGGAGGGCGAGGCACGGCGAGGGGGAGGCGTGGAGGACTGGCAGCGAGGGGCGCGCAAACATGGATCGGGGGAGGCGCCCTCCCCGAGGTGCGGCCGGTGCCGCCTCGCTGGGCGGCAGAGATCCGCGAGTTCCCCTGGAGACGGGGCCCGTCGCGAATCCACGCCCCCTTGGTCCATGTTTGCGATCGCCTGACTCGCCATCGCTCGGACGTGCATTCCCCGTGCATTTTTCGATTTCGTGCGTGCATGTGTCGCCGAATGATCAAAAATGCTCCTCCAGGGTCCTCGCCGAGAAAAAAAAATACACACGTCCGAGCGCCAGGCTGATGGAGGCGAGGGGCAACGTCGGAGGGAGAGCTGGCTCCGGGGGGAAGGCATCGCCCTGGGGTCGGCGGCGGCCGATGCATCGGCGATGGGCCCCAGGTGGCGCAGAACGGGGCGCTCCTGGGCGGGGATGGCCATCACGGGGCCCCCGCCGGCGACGGGTGGGCGATTGGGGGTCGGTGCAGCCCCCTTCTCGAGCTCATCCCCTCCCCAATGTTGGCGGCGAGCAAAAGGGGGTAGGGGGAGGGGAGAGGGCTTCTCAGAGGGAGGCTGCTTCTTCGAAGGCGACGGCATTACATCTATCAGGCCCGCGCCTTCTAAGGAGCAGGGGTGATTCTGAGAAGCCCTCCCCCCTCCCCCCCACCCCCCTCTGCGCGTGGCTGACAATGATCAGCGTCGGCGTCGTCTCACTTTAGATCCTAACTCGGGTCCCCCAGCGGCCGTTCGGGACGATCCGGGCAGTCACAGAACGCCCTCGGCGAAGTGCCGCCGCTGGAAGGAATCCTGAGGCTGTGAAACTGCTGCGAACCGGCGAAACGCCCGAAAACCTCGAGCCTCGAACCTCTGGGGGGACCAGACGGTACTCCAGACTTCGTAATAAAAGGGAGGGGGTCTGGACCCTCCAAGACAAGTCATTTCAGACCCCCCGCGTGGGAGAACCCTCCAAAACATCGTCCCCAGACCCCCCCAGGCCCTCCAAGATAGCTTGGAAAAGACCCCCCCCCGAAATGAGACCCCCCTCTCTTTATTACGAAATCTGGAGTACCAATGCCGCTGCTCCCTGGACCTCTCCCAGGGTGGGCTCTCACCAGGATAGCCTGGCGAGCCCAGCCGTGGCCACAAGGGCATTCCAGGAGGCCCAGCATCCCAGGAGGCCCAGAAAGGCGAGAACGAAGGGAGGGCAGCGGCATAGGTACGCTTCCCTGCTCTAACATTTCCCCCGTACGTTGCCCCTGATGTTGGCGGCTCGCACGAGGGGGTAGGGGCAGGGGGAAGGCATCTCAGAAGCAGGCTGCTGCTGGCCCTACATCTGCAGACGAGGCCCGCGCCTTCTAATAAGCAGGGGTGCTTCTGAGAAGCCTTCCCCCCCTCCCCCCACCCCCTCTGCGCGTGGCGTCGGCTTTCGGGCCACAACTCGGGCCTTAAGCAGCCGTTTGGCACGATCTGGGCACCCTGGGAACGCTCTCGGCGAGGCGCAGGTGCTGGAGAGCGTCCCGAAACTGGAAAACTGCCCAGAACCAACGAAAACCGTCGAAAACCGCCGAAAACGAATCCCCCCTCCCCCGGCCCTCCCTGTGCGCATGGCCGAACCTTGCCCCTGACGGCAGCACCCGGCTCCGGCTGCTCGCGCCCAGGGAGGCGGAGCCGAGCCCAACTCCGGCCAGGGCGGGCCTCTGGCAGCTGGCGGCGAGGACGGCAGGCGCGGATCCCCGGCCGCGCTGCAGCGGTGGGCCGGCCAGAGCACGCGCCCCCTGCAGGAGAGGAGGAGGAGGAGGAGGAGGAGGAGGAGGAGGAGGAGGAGAGGAGGAGGGTCGAGGATCAGGAGGAGGAGGAGGAGGAGGAGAGGAGGAAGAGGAGGACGAGAAGAGAGGAGAGAGGATAGAGGAGAGAGAGAAAGGAGGAGGAGGAGAGGAGGAGGAGGAGGAGGAGGAGGAGGAAGAGGAGGGGAGGAGGCTGAGGAGGAGGCGGAGGAGGAGGAGAAGGGGGAGGAGGAGGAGGACGTGGAGAAGGGGAGGAGGAGGAAGAGGAGGGGGAGGAGGAGGCTGAGAAGGAGACGGAGGAGGAGGAGGAGGAGGGGGAGGAGGAGGAGGACGTGGAGGAGGAGGAGGAGGAGGAGAGATGGAGGAGGAGAATGAGGAGGAGGAGGAGGAGGAGGAGGAGGAGTTGGAGGAGGAGGAGGAGGAGGAAGGGAACGGGGAAGAGGAGGAGGGGAAGGATAAGGATAAGGATAAGGATAAGGATCAGGATCAGGATCAGGATCAGGATCAGGATCAGGATCAGGATTCAGGATCAGGATCAGGATCAGGATCAGGATAAGGATCAGGATCAGGATCAGGATAAGGATAAGGATAAGGATAAGGATAAGGATAAGGATACGGATAAGGATAAGGATAAGGATAAGGATAATGATAAGGATAAGGATAAGGATAAGGACAAGGATAAGGATAAGGATAAGGATAAGGATAAGGATAAGGATAAGGATAAGGATAAGGATAAGGATAAGCATAAGGATAAGGATACGGATAAGCATAATAATAAGCATAAGGATAAGGATAAGGATAAGGATAAGGATAAGGATAAGGATAAGGATAAGGATAAGGATAAGGATAAGGATACGGATACGGATAAGGATAAAGATAAGGATAAGGATAAGGATAAGGATAAGGGTAAGGATAAGGATAAGGATAAGGATAAGGATAAGGATAAGGATCAGGATAAGGATAAGGATAAGGATAATGCTAAGGATAAGGACAATGATAAGGATAAGAATCAGGATCAGGATCAGGATATGGACAAGGATAATGATAAGGATAAGGATAAGGATAAGGATAAGGATAAGGATAAGGATAAGGATAAGGATAAGGATAAGGATAAGGATAAGGATAAGGATACTGGTAAGCATAAGGATAAGGATAAGGATAAGGATAAGGATAAGGATAAGGATAGGGATAGGGATAGGGATAGGGATAAGGATAAGGATAAGGATAAGGATAAGGATAAGGATAAAGATAAGGACAAGGACAAGGACAAGGACACGGACAAGGACAAGGACAAAGACAAGGACAAGGACAAGGACAAGGATACGGATACGGACACGGACACGGATACGGATAAGGATAAGCATAAGGATAAGGATACGGATAAGCATAATAATAAGCATAAGGATAAGGATAAGGATAAGGATAAGGATAAGGATACGGATAAGGATAAGGATAAGGATAAGGATAAGGATAAGGATAAGGATAAGGATAATGATAAGGATAAGGATAAGGATAATGATGAGGATGATGATAAGGATAAGGATAAGGATAAGGATAAGGATAAGGATAAGGATAATAATCAGGATCAGGATCAGGATATGGACAAGGATAATGATAAGGATAAGGATAAGGATAAGGATAAGGATAAGGATAAGGATAAGGATAAGGATAAGGATAAGGATAATGATAAGGATAATGATAAGGATATTGATAAGGATACGGATAAGGATAAGGATAAGGATAACGATAAGGATAAGGATAAGGATAAGGATAAGGATAAGGATAAGGATAAGGATAAGGATACGGATAATGATAATGATAAGGATATGGATAATGATAAGGATAAGGATAAGGATAATGATAGGGATAGGGATAGGGATAGGGATAGGGATAAGGATAATGATAAGGATAAGGACAAGTACAAGGACAAGGACAAGGACAAGGACAAGGACAAGGATAAGGATAAGGATACGGATAAGGATAAGAATAAGGATAAGGATGAGGATAAGGATAAGGATAAGGATAAGGATAAGGAGTAGGAGTAGGAGTAGGAGAGGAGAGGAGAGGAGAGAGGAGAGAGGAGAGAGGAGAGAGGAGAGAGGAGAGAGGAGACAGGACAGGAGAGGAGAGGAGAGGAGGGGGAGAGGAGAGGAAGGGAGGGAGGGGAGGGGAGGGGAGGGGAGGGGAGAGGAGAGGAGAGGAGAGGATGACGAGGGGGAGAATGAAGAGGAGGAGGAGGAGGAGGGGGAGGAGGAGCAGGGGAGGCCGCGTCAGGATGACCCATTGGCAATCCTCAACCGGTCAACAGGTGGAGGAGGAGGTGAATGTGGAGGTGGACCAGTCGAGAAGAAGAAGATGTAAAAAGAGCCCCCGTCGCCACGGCTGGATTATGTTCGAGCTCCTGGTCGGAATGTACTCCGGGATGAGGTCCAGGGCGTAGCGGTACCAGTGCTTTCCGTACCCCAAAAACTGCATCGGCAGAGAGAGCTGGATGCTCCGCGCGGCGGGGAAGAGGGCCCGAGCCCCGGACCCGAGCCTGCTGCGCCACTTTGAAGGGGCCCTGGGACACACAAATAAGTACACACAAATAAAAAGATCCCCCGTATTTTCCCATATTTCCTGGGTTTTTGTCTTCCCCCCCACCTCCCATATTTTCCCATGTTTTCTGGGGAATCGACGATGAATTGTGTCTGTGTGTGTTTTTTCCCTCCTGGCACTTCTCGAGCCAGCTCGACCTGCGAGGGCCCCAGAAGTGGCCCGAGACGGGGCGAGCACGCCCCTGGCCCGGGAAAAAGCGCAGGGCCCCGACCTCGGGGCCTTGCACTTTTTCCCGGGCCAGGAAGGAGGGGGAGGAGGAGGAGGAGGAGGAGGAGGAGGAGGAGGAGGAGGAGGAGGAGGAGGAGGAGGAGGAAAGAGGAGGGGAGGAGGAGGAAGAGAAGGGGAGGAGGAGGCTGAGGAGGGAGGCGGAGGAGGAGGAGGAGGAGGAGAAAGAGGAGGAGGAGGAGGAGAGGAGGAGGAGGAGCAGGCGGAGGCGGAGCAAGGGAGAGGGGGGGGGGGGGCGGGGGGCACGGGCGCCGCGGCCTCGCCGCGGGCGTTGCTCGAAGGGGGGGGGGCAAGCGAGAGGGGGCGGAGGAGGGCGCACCTTTCGGGTCCCCCCTTGGGGCCTTAGGGGGTACCTTCAGTAGGGGGAAAACAAACTTACCTCGCTTTTGACCACCCTCGCTTCCAAGAGATACCAAGCGATGCCAGACTACGGCCTGTACTGGTCAGGCCGCTTGCCAAGGAGGCGCGTGGTATGACTTGGTTTTGTCTGGAAGCGAAAGCGGGGCAGGTAGTTCACGCTCTGATTCAGGGCCCCTTCAGGGCACGAGAGATGCATCTCTCCTCGCCACCTCACCTATCACGGCCCCTCCATGGCGCAACGCCCGAACGCCGCGCGCCGCGGCGCGGCCGGGGAGGTGCACGGTGCGCGCTGCCTGCCAGCCTCGGCAGCCTGCCGGGCGCCCTGCCGTCACACGGGCTCGCTTGGCTCCGCCGCCTCGGGGCTCTGCGGAGGCTCCGGTGCCGGAGAGTGACCACCGCCAACCTCCGCGTGCTGGGACCGAACTCCCCACTGGCAGTCGCGACGTCCTTTACAATCATTTGGGGATGGACAGACCCCCCTTTAGCAAAACGTGGTTTAGTGAAAACGACCTGAGGCCCAAACCTGGCGGGCGCGAGCCTGGAACATAACGGCCACGGCGCCCTCTCGAGAGCCGAAAACGGACAATTCACTAAGCGACGTGTCACTGTTGGGGGTCCTGTCCGCCCCCGAACCTCGTGCTGCCGTGCGGAGCGCAGAAGGAGAAACGAAGGGGCCTCGCCGGCCACGGCAGGCCTGGGCCACCAGCAGGCCCCACGACGCGGATCGCCCGGGAACGGTGCGGAGGCCCGAGCCCCTTTGGAGCCCGAAGCGGCCCTGCTTTCAGCACCTCGACTGTACCAGGGGATCGTGGCCTCGGGGGCGCGGAATCTGGGGGTACTCCAGAGCCCATTATTAATCGTCCCCCGGGTCCGGTTCTTCAAGGCGCCTTGTTTGTAACTGGGGGGGTCCGGTTCATCAGGGCGCTTTCTTTGGATTGGAGCTCAGGGGGTCTGGTTTATTAGGGCGCCCCGTCGAAGAGGGGGCTGGGAATATTACGTCGCATCTGGAGGGGGGGTCGGTTTTTTAGGGGGAGGGGCGACTGATAAGGGATTTGGAGTGACGTGCCAGGGATCGTCGCTTCGAGCGGCTCTGGTGCAGCTTACGAGGGCTGTGGCTGCGGGGGCGCGGACCTGGCGTAATCCACAAAAAGGATCGTGGCGGGGCCTGCGGAGGCGGTGGGATGCGGGCAGCCTCGGGCCCGGAGGCCCACACGGGTCCACGGTTAGGTTGGGCCTGTCCCCCTCCCTACAGAAGGAGCTTGGACGAACAATGAAACATATGCCAAACATAATCAAAAAATAACAAAAAAAATACCCCAAACATAGTCCCGGTTGTATGTTGTGACTATTTTGGGATACTCCTTCCGTAGAGGGGCAGGCCCGACTTTAACTCTACGCTCACTGCCTGCAGGTGAGCGGCGACAAGAAACGCGTCTTGCGCCAGAAGACATACTCCAGATTTCGAGATAAAAAGGGAGGGGGTATCTAACCCTCCCAGACGAGAAGTTTTAGACCCCCTCGTGGGAGAACCCTCCAAAACATCGTCCCCAGACCCCCCCAGGCCCTCCAAGATAGCCTGGAAGAGACCCCCCCCGAAATGAGACCCCCCTCCCTTTATTACGAAATCTGGAGTAGGCGCGGTGACCCGCGCGGGCCACCAGCGCGGCACGCCACGCTGGAGAAGAGGGCGCCCACGCCCGACGTCACGCGCGCCGCCCGCGCGCAGGTGTCCGTGCAGACGGCCCCGACTGTCTGCGTCGCTCGGGTCCTGGCGTGAGGTCGGGCCTGCCCTCCTAGAGGCGGATCCTGGAGGAGAAACAAAAACAGACAAAAAGGATTCACTGCGTGGAGCTCCCCATATGTGCGTCTCTTTGCATTGGCACTTCCGCCGTGAATGTCTAGGCGCAAGAAACTTCGAATATAAACGAGCTTGGATATTGACAGCCTGGGAGAGAGAGAGAGAGAGAGAATAATTGCGAATAACTTTGAGTGTGTATGAGCCCCAGCAGCACGAGTGAGTCTATGCGCGTGAGCCTGCGCATGGTTAAGCTTAGGGTGAGAGTGTCTGCACGTCAGTGGCCTGACCATGACTGAGCATGACTGAATCTTCCTGGGTTCTCTTGGGGCTTCCTGGGGCTTCCTCAAGTCTCCAAGGCCCTTGGGGCCTCCTGGGGCCTCTTGGTGCTTCCTGGGGCTTCCTTGAGCCTCTTGGAACTCCTGGGGCCTCCTGCTGCTTCCCGGAGCCTCCTGGGGCCTCTTGGGGACTGCTCCTCCTTGAGCCTCCCGGGGCTTCCTGAGGCCTCTTGGGGCGTCCTTGGGCCTTCCTGGCGCTTCCTGGGGACTGAGCCTCCTGAGACCTCCTGGGTCCTTCCTGGCGTTTCCTGGGGCTTCCTCGGGCCTCTTGGAGCCTCCGGGTACCTCTTGGGCTTCCTGTGGCTTCCTGAATTCTCCTGGGGCCTTCAGGGGCCTCCTGTGGCCTCCTGGGCCTTCGTGGAACCTCCTGGGGAGGATTCGTGCCCCAGGAGAGGAACAAATAAAAAACACTTAAGATTGGAACCACAGGAGAAGGATAATATATAAGCAAACATATATACATACATACATACATACATACATACATACATACATACATACAGACAGACAGACAGACAGACAGACAGACATACATACATACATACATACATGCATACCAACATACATGCATGCATGCATACATACATACATACATACATACGTACATACATACATACATACATACATACATACATGCATCCATACATACATACATGCATGCATGCATACATACATACATACATAAATACATACATACATACATACGTTCATACGTACATACGTACATACGTACATACGTACATACGTACATACGTACATACGTACATACGTACATACGTACATGCATGCATACATACACACATACATACATACATACATACATACATACATACATACATACATACATACATACATACATACGTACGTACGTATGTACGTACGTACATACATACATCCATACATACATACATGCATACACACACACATACCTACATACATGCAGTCATACATACATGTATACATACATTCATACATACATACATACATACATACATACAGGCAGGCAGGCAGGCAGGCAGGCAGACAGACAGACAGACATGTGTATATATATATATGTGAACACACGCAAGCAACATCGGATTCGTGCCCCACGGGACGCCCAACCTATAGAAATATACGTAAAACACATCGGATTGGAGCCACGAGAGAAGGACAATGTATAGGAACATACGTAAAACACAAAGGATTCGTGCCCCAGGAGAGGCCTGATCTATAGGAACAGCAATCAAACACATATGATCAAACACATAGGAACAGGCCCCAGGAGGCTCCAGGCTGGAGCCTCCTGGGGCCTGTTGGGGCCTCCTGGGGCCTTCTGGTGCCTCCTGGCGCTTCCTGTGGCTTCCTGAGGCCTCCTGGGACCTCCTGGGGCCTCCTGAAACTTCCTGGGGTTTCCTGGAGCTTCTCGGGGGGAGCCTCTTGTGGCATTCTGGGGCTTCCAGGGGCTTCCTGGAGCATCCTGGGACTTCCTGAGGATTTCTCGAAACTCTTGAAGCTTCCTGGGCGCTCCTGTAGCCCTTTGGAGCACCTTGAAGCCTCTTGGTGCTTCCTGTTGTCTCCTGGAGCCTCCTGGGGCCTCCTGTGGCTTCCTATGGCCTCCTGGGGCCTCCTTGGGCGGGCCTCCTAGGATCCGCCCACGATTCTGGCAGCCAAACCGAGCAAACCGCTCGAGACGTCCTCGCAATCTAAGCCCCCTGGGGTGCGAATGCCGGCACCTGCACTCGACGAGTCTGGCCAGCAGAACAAGCACACCGCTCGAGACATCCTCGCCATCTGGGCCCCCTGGGGTGCGAAAACCAGCGCCTTGCACGAGACGTCCTCCAAGTCTGCTCCGAAAATAAAGGATGCTGGGTCAGGAAACACGCAAACCGCTCGAAACATCCCTGCAATCTGGGCGCGAACGGAGACCGTGCAACACCCCTGGCGCCCCCCCCCCTAGGAGTGCCAAAACACGCAAGCCGCTCGAGACATCCTCAAAATCTGCCCTGAGCGCACACGAGTCTGGCCACCAACACAGGCAAACCGCTCGAGACATCCTCGCAATCTAGGCCCCCTGGGGTGCGAATACCAGCGCCTCGCACTAGACATCAAGAAACACTCAAACCGCTCGAGGCATCCCCGCAATCTGGGCCCCTTGGAATGCGACAACCAACGCCTCGCACGAGACATCCTCGAAATCAGCACCGAAAACGGGAAAATGTTGGGCATGCAAACAAGCAAACCGCCTGAGACATCCCCGCAATCTGGGCGCGAACGGAGGCCGTGCAATACCCCTGGCGGCCCCCCCTTAGGAGGCGCCTCGCACGAGACATCCTCAAAATCTGCTCCGAAAACGGAGGATGTTGAGCATGCAAACCGGCAAACCGCTCGAGGCATCCCCGCCATGTTGGCGCGAACGGAGGCCGTGCAATACCCCCTGGCGCCCCCCCCTAAGAGTGCTACAACCAGCAAACCGCTCGAGACACCCTCATCATCTGCTCATCGTCGTCATCATCATCATCATCATCATCATCATCATCATCATCATCATCATCATCAGCATCATCATCATCATCATCATCATCATCATCATCATCATCATCATCATCATCATCATCATCATCATCATCATCAGCATCATCATCATCATCATCATCATCACCATCGTCATCATCATCATCATCCTCATCATCATCATAAGCATCATCATCATCATCAACCTCATCATCATCATCATCATCATCATATTCATCATAATCATCATCATCATCATCATCATCATCTTCATCATAATCATCATCATCATCATCACCACCACCACCATCATCATCAGCATCATCATCATCATTACCATCATCATCATCAGCATCACCATCATCATCATCCTCATCCTCATCCTCATCATCATCATCCTCATCAGCCTCATCATCATCATCATCATCATCATCATCATCATCATCATCATCACCATCATATTCCGTGAAGCGCGCAGGCTCGGACTGGCGTGAGTGCACAGGGCGCTCAAGCTTACTCCAGTGGCCCTCTTGCGAGCCTGCAGAGCCCCATTGCGATGGAGCTTTGAAGAACACATCGCCACCAGTGACCATCGATTTCCGCCAGGTGACTGCCTGCTATCTCTGCCACGGCCTTGGTGTGGTCCCAGTTCGTGCTCCAGGTGGTGCGCTACCTGTCCCCATACTTGTTCCCCTTGCAATTCCTGGAATGCCGCTCCTTGTCCAGTGGCCAGAGCCAGAAGCATTG